TACATTATTCCTTTACTCTCTCAAAAGGTGTTGACACGAACAATGAAATTGTTTGTAGATTACAGTTCACGGTGTATAAGTTTGAAGAGTTTGGACAAAAGATTATGTATATATTCCCTTCTATCTGAAAAGATTATCTTCTGATATTCGTGCCATTTGAACAAACATTTTACAAGATCAAATAAACTTAAGAATTTGATCGTGGTCTCTCTGTCTTGGGGGTAGATGGTTTTTATCTTGTGGCCTTTTTGTTTAAGGGGGACTTATGGCAATATATGTTACAATGTGAAAGAAAACCAGCTTTAAAAATGAGTAATCGACATCATTAGAGGTGAGTTAATATTTGGTCAAGTTTAATTTATTGAATTATTAACTAATGAGCTTGATGCTGAATCCTGCATTTTAAAAATCATATCAAAAATTTCTGTATCTTTCCGAGGTCGCAAAGGATGTTAACGGCTCACAGCACCTCTATTAAATAAATACATGTATTGACCGAATTATATCAATAAAATTGATCTTCAAAAAATTGTTTGGTTTTTAGTAATTTACGGAGAAAAAGGCTTAATGGATAATTAAATATTTTGTTCAAATAATCACCATTGATTTCAAAATGCAACACGAGATTAGCATTAAAATATGCCTTTCATAATCAAAGTTTTAGAATGCCAACTCAATTATAAATCCCTCCTTCTACAAATAGTATGATAAAAAGTCTACAGCAATATAAACACGTCAATCTTGAATACTTGGAAAACCATTTAGATTTAGTAAACAAAGTCGTATTGAAATATTGAAAAATCTTACATGATGGAAAATATTTCAACAGCGAAAGGTTGCTAACTTACAGACTCCCCCAAACAATGGTATGAAAGTACAGAGAGATTAAAAACTCAGGTAAGAATTTATAGCAATTTCCTTCAAATCAAAGAGAATTCATATTCATTGGCTAATTTGGACTGTACAATATTGTATTTGTGCATGATCTTTCCGTTTTTGTAGATGGTGATTGCAACAAAAGGTCTTGAGATCTGACAGTAGATGTACTTTAATTCTAAATTAGAACAACTCCTCGTACTTTTAAATGCATGCGCATTTATGTTTTTGCTTTTTGTTATTCGATTATTGCAAAAAATGTGTTGAACACTTTTCTTAGAGCATTATCCTTTTTTTAAATAAGTGTATAAATCATTCATTCTAAATACACGTTTAATTAGAAAATAAGATATTGCGTACTTTCCTTATGAGGTGTCCAATTAAAAAAATGATTGCTCCGTCTTCAGTAGGAAAGGGGGGGGGATAGATTTATAAATTACAAGCTTCAATTCCCTTTTACCCTCATAAAAAAAGCCACCTGGGTTTTCAATTTTAATTGATAAATCCGTACAAAATTTAAATAAATATTCAAGATGTAAGTCATAAAATATAGAAATCGTATGTATCTTAATAGATTACTGTTTACATGAAACCTTTCTAATATATATATATATATATATATATATATATATATATATATATATATATATATATATATATATATATATATATATATATATTGATAATAATTGTAACTTAATCCATGTAGAAAATCGTATCACCACAAATTTAATTTTCAAGGAGTTCGGCTTGCGACTTTAAATCCCTATTGCATGTTATCTGATAAAATTAGATAATTTTAATTGGCGTGTGTGTAGACAAAACTTTCTGTATTGTCAAGGGTCATTTAAAGGGAAAATTGAAAAGGGACACAACAAAACTTATTCGAAAGTAAACGAGACAATAGATCATTAAGACAATGCACTTTTAAAGTTTTGACTCAGGCCATACAGTGTTGCTAAGAAAAATGTCAGACATTGAAATATACACACGTGTGTAAATATAACCACTGTACATGTAGGCCCTAGTGGCTATTACAAAATCTTATTTCAATGTAGAAAATCTTCTAAGTAATAGTGATCGATTGAATTAAGGTAAGTCTATATATAATTACATGCACTTCATATGTAAACATGCCTTTTTAAAACTTTGAAATCACTATGTTTAAGAGTCAGAACTCTCTTTGTTAGCGAAACATAAGATAGTTTTCATGCATCAAAAGTCAGAGACAAACTTTCTTCCTTCTAGAGCAGTGTCTAAGAGTCAAATTCCCCTGTGGTTTCTTGTTATGAGGTTGAGAATGTCCAGAAAGTATCAAACTACTGTGCGTTTCATGTTTCGTGTATTAGATATATCTTTATATGGTCATAGGAACAGGCGGTACACCGTAGAATGTCATAACCTCCTCTCTTTATCCAGTAATATCATTTTGACAATACAGTTTATGTGTATTTGTTTAAGATAGACCTCCCCCAGACAAAAGAATTTTTTTTCGACAAAGTTGGGCTCGTTGGATTTCTCAATAGATCGAAGAAACGAGGGTTAATTTTGTACTAGAGAGGGAATGAAAACCAACCCAATAATCCTATATATATATATATATATATATATATATATATATATAATATATATATATATATATATATATATATATATATATATATATATATATATATATATATATATATATGTATGTATATCAAATTTGATCATATGTACAGTATCACTTTGGAACAAATACAACATTTTGTCCGCACATTGCGGGGGGGGGGGGGGGGAAAGGAGGAATTCTAGATCAGATGGAAGTTTTTGGACGTACTGCTAAGGCTGGGTTTAACTTAAAACAGTTACATGTATTTTGAGAGCCACCAATCATTATACTCGTTGTCCTGCTCCGCTTATCCTCAGTACTGACGAACCACGAAAATAAGTAAAATTTTACTCTGATGTCTTTAAACCAGGGATTTTCGCCACAAATTCATTGCACTAGAATGATTTGTCAGAGAAACCTTTCAAATATACTCATTATTTATTCGCATTATGTTTTCAGAATACATTTATTGATGAGAAGAAAATGGTATATTACATAAAATGACTACAAAAATTTCCAATATAATGTATTTAAATTAATTTTCAGACAAATTGATCACCTTCACATGGGGCTGTTACGTAATGCAACTTCGAATTGCACTGTATTTAATGACCTCGATTTTATCTTGTATTTGTATTCTCCCATTTTTTAGAGAATGTAGAAAATTGTACATTGCACATTGAGTAGTATATAAACTTTGGTTTTTATCTTCGATAAGTGGAGATGTCAAATCAATTTTTAAATAAGGGATTATAAAGGTTTTTTTTTTCAAACCATCTTCCATACAACCTAACACCAAGAATGTAATTTTTTATAAACTTAATCGTAATGTTATACCTGGCCTTTTAAAAATGTGCATATTGAATAAAATTGAAACAGGATTTCACCCTGTTCAAAAATTTAAGGTCATTCAATATGGTTTCTTGTCAATTTTAACTGTGCCTCATTTTCCTTTTTCAACTAAATAACGATTCAATCTAAAACCGATTGCATGCATGGACTATTTGTGCTCTTAAATGTAAATTAATCCACAGAGGTGATATAAAATTTGCTAAACGTCTTAAAATGACAGATTTAAATTTGTTCAACCATATGGACGTAAACGTATCGGTTTCATTCGACCCATTGGATCCCTTTGTCTCTATCCTGTGACGTAATTAGATACTGTGTAATTAGGAATTAGCACATACTTTCAGGTGTTGACCAAACTAACCCTCAAAATTGTCCAAATTAAAATTGTAGGAAGAAAATAGATGGGTGATACTGTTCAATAGATATTGATATTCCAAGAAAATTGTAGACCAGGGAATGCAATTGGGAATAAATATTGACATCCCGTGATAACAAGAATTGATGATTTATTTTGTATTAGGAAATATTAGTATTCAGCTAAAATATACGCAGTCCCGGAGAATCACGTCTTCGAGCTTTTATGAGATTCTTTCGAACTAAATCAAACATCGATCCCAACATCGATTTAAGTAAAATCAATATCTAATTTAACCCTAATTGTACATTTGATAAACATGTTGATCAATGTGAATAAAGCATTGAGCAAAATATGTTTATTAGCTGTGATTGGCATCTTAAAAGATGGAAAACACAATTGTTTTATGCCTTCAAAGCACGTGACATCAGAACGGATGGAACATCCGATATGTTTAAATGATTTGAAGTCTAGTCAATTCTTATGTCATTTCGTAAACGGGTCATTGGTTTACTTTAGCATTTTTAGACTTATCTTTAATAGGGCACGGTGGAGATAAGAAGAAGATATTTTGAGGCAATATTTTCTTTAGTCTTTCACGTAGGCATATTTAATCACATTTTTTCTCGAGTAAACTTGGGGCTATATAAACTTGTGGACTTTATCTACTGCGAAACAAACAATGATGTACCTGCAGTTGATGACTTTATAAATGTTACGGCGATACTAAACTCGATACACCCCCTTTTTTGAATAGAAAAATCTTTGAAAATTTTCTCTTCTTCAGAAAGAAAACCTGATTATTGAATAACAATCAACTGATATCGACTGATTTTTATGTGTCAGAAGTGATCTTAATTGGATTTTAACATAAAAGATAAGGGACAGAATTTTTCATTTACCACGATACTTGACTTTGATGAGATACGCCAACTATCGATAGTTTATTATAAATTATGACCGATGGGATAACGTTAATCTCTTTGTGAACCAACTTACTGATAAAAACTGACATTTCTTTTGCAACATTTTTCCACGTTCGATTTTTGTGTCTTTTTGTGTTGACAATTAACGTCTGGTATCTTCAGACTGCTCTCAGAGTAAACGTTTGTTAAAGATTTCTAATTGGTACCATATTCAGCTGTGTAACTCTCCTTTTCTCGGAGTTACGTTTAGTGTGCAAGATGTTGACTTTGGATTTTCCAAAACTTCCCCGCCAAAATACACGCATCCTCTCTTCAATGCGATGGGATGAAGTTGTCAATCTCCTCACGTCTCGCTACAGAGAGAAAGAGGTAAATACTATGTTTCCTGTTTCTTTGCAGAATGGGTATGTCTGTGGAACCTTTAGATCTAGTAAGAATCAGACGAAACCAGCGCAGGCTAAAAGGTTTGCTCTCTAATCGAGAAGTTCCGAATGATCACTTGAACCTTCAGCATTATCCTGTAAGTATTGATGTACTTTAAACCTGCCAAAACATGAAGATCTATACTTGACATAACGCTATGAGGAATTTCGACAAGTCACTAAACGGCTTTGTAATTCCCTTTTTATATTAGATGTTTAAGTTATATAACTTTAAAAAAAACTTCCGTTTTATGCATTTTCAATCAGTTTAGGAAAATATAGTTTTAGATATCCAACAAACTGAAAGGAGTAAGCGCAAAACTGAATATTGTTCCTACAACATAAAATAAATCAGTTGAAGCCAATTAAACTGAAATGGGTCTAATTTACATATTCTGACTAAAATTTCAGTAATATATAGAACTGAACTCTCTCCAGATAAATATTGTAGTCCATGGAAGAATTTTGCCAATAAAAATCCCATAAAAGAATTTTTCCAACCTGTAAAATACAGTTATTCCAAACTTCTGTGAATAACTTTTGTGAATTATTGACAGAATTATTGCATTAAAGTGATGTATTGCACATCTCATTGTTAACACTTAGTATTTTTTTTTTATTTGGTATTTCTATCATATTCTTTTAAGATACTCATTCATCGTCAATCAATTTTTGTTTTACCAAAGAAATGTATTTGTGTGTAAAAATAACTTATTGATACAAGATAGAAAAAGAGTAATTTGAATAATACAAGAAGAGAATAAAATTCCAAATGCTAAATCTGTAAAATATGGAAAGCGATGGCATCTAAAAGTTTAAAGATTTTGAAAATGCCATTAAATTCCACTACGCTGGATTTAGATTTTGTGGACAAAATAGGAAATCAATGTCTGAAACTGAATATTTATACAAGTTTCACAGCAAAAATTGGCCATCAATCATAATCGATGAACTTAATTATGCCTGTCGCCCATCATATTTTGTTGATGTTTCTGATTAAAACCTTTAATCTGTGTAATATTCTTCTGACAATCTTGATTACAGAAATTAGACCAATATATATACAAAAATATTTTTCCAGCTGTTTTTTATTCTGTTGGGCGAGGTTTAAATGCAGGTCCTTTGTCCCATCTCTAACAATTCTCAAGGTTTACAAAAAGTTTAAAAAGATACATTTAAGGTAGTGCGTACCTCCTATCTGATTTGAACGACTTTAATCTGAAGAATATAAAAGACCAATCTTCAGTAATCCGCCGAACAACAATGGAGTGTCCTTAAGTTCATTTGACAATGTTCGTTGTTCTCCACGCCCGAACATTAAATTTAGGAATTTACAATTCAAAAGCGTCTTACGAGATGACGATAAGAAGTGGTACATACAAACATTCCCTCTTCCATTATTCTCTTAAAAAGGGTACCCTGGGGAAAATTACTCACCATTCCAAGTAAGTGATAATAAGAGTGACCACTTTAGCTGTTAAAATTTTATGGAATATATCATATCATACAGTGGTAATTGTCTTCTGATGTGGCAGTACGAAATTTTAAAAGGTTTTAGTTGGATTCTAAACGAACCATGCCCCTTGTAGCCTCATTATCTGACGACAAGTGCCATTATTTTAGACTAACCAGGCGTCTGGCAATGATTAAGTGTTAATGTAGCATTGTCATTAGCTGGTCATTATGGCGTTGCTACAACTCAGATTTGTTTCTCAGTATTTTTTCGCTGATTACTTGTTCATTCTCGGAAGATGATTGAAAGGGAAAAGATCTAGTCAAGTCCTAAACTTTAAAGTGTTAAAAGAGAGTAATGGTTATTGGAGAAAAGATTCATTTTAAGCCTCTGAAAAATACCATTGTGCATGGATATGGTATTCGACCAGAGCCACAAGTATGCATGTTAAATGTTTAGTTAACAATTTTAAGCGACTGTTTTGAAGACATCGTGAAATTAATTATTTGTTATTGTGTTTCAGATACGAAGAAAACCTCTCCCGGCTGGCTTTTGTTACGTCTGCAGTCGTATAGACCCGGAGGGAAAATTCAAACATCCTCATGGGTACCTCTTCAGCAAGGGTTTCTTCTCTCAATGTGAGCATATGCCTAAGACTCCCTACCCTACCGTCATCATTGAGAGCCGAAAACCATCGCCCACCAATTCTGAACCGACGCAGCCTATGAGCGGACTTCGGGTCAAAATAACTCGAAGAAGCAAATCACCTCCATCTAAATATGGAAGAAAGTATTTCGATAAATCAGTACTTGATGGTGTTCGATACGACAATGATATTTACCAGAATTCGCGTTACAGCGTACCGGCCATGTTTGATCATGTTACGGACGAAGACGGAAAAAAGATTCCAGAAGTGGGAGAAATGTCATGGATGGAGGATGATGGCGATTCTGTTAACGAAGAAATAATAGTGAATTACATTGAGGATTGGAACGACGAAGATTCTCCAGAGAATCATTTGGCCAACCAACAAACAACGCCAACGGAGGTCCTTTTGCCTCCGATCGGGGGTCAAAATTCGAAATCAGGAACCAGCAAATCTGAATTAAGCATACCCGGGCCGAAAGTTTCGGAAAAACTGCCATTGATTCACGGCAGTGTCGAGCGTATCAACGCCTCAAGAGAACGACTCGAAAAGAAACCAAGTAAAAGAAAGTCTCGAAAATCCTCCAATGCATCTATCGACGAAGCAGACATGATTTACACTGGCGGAGATGATGACTATGGTCACATTAAGTACCATCACCGTGGTATGTACGACTCTGTTCCAAGCGGTGGACTTGATATGCCATCATCTCGAGAAGCTTTAAGCAAACATATAACTAGCAAATCCTTTAATGGAGAAAATTCTTCACTCCATGACCAGACATCGGACAAGAAAAGCAGATCAAGGTTAAGTTCCAGTGAAATCTCGTTCGGAATTCCAGAAACACCATCAATGATTATCGCCCGAATCAATAACTCTGATCACTGGTGTCAGTGTGAAGATGTAGATATGTCCACTATCAAGTGTCCAGAATGCCATATAGTTGGTGGACACGAAAAATGGTGTATACACTCGAGATCTTCAGCAAAGCAAGGAAACTGTCCAAAGTGTGGAAAGCCAATTAAAAGAAAAAATGTTCGAGGTTCGAGTTACAAACATCAAAGACGAGGATCCAAATCAACGAGTAAATCTGAAGAATTTGATGTTTCAGCTGGAAAGCAACGTGTTCGATTTGATGATGAAGATGATCTTGACGAAAAGAAACGATTAGAAATGATAAGAAAGAATGACGAAGATTACATGGCTGGTGTTGATGATATATTATACGATGAGGAAAAATACGGCCGATTGTGGACACCGGCGACCCAGGAAGAGGATGAAGAACGCAAACACAAGAGAATAGATCCCAACATTCACCGCGAGGCCTACCTACGCGCGCTCCTGGAAGTCAAAAACAACCAGTTAAAAAAGATTTCTGAAGTTGATGAACACTTTTTTGCGAGCAGACTGTGTCGCCCACATGTATTTTCATACTTTCGCCTTCGGCCACAGCAAGCAAAGCAAAATGCATTGAGCGAACCTTTCAATATAGGCTTAAAACCTGACGAATCAAAAGGCATTCCACCCAGAAAGGGAATGAAACATATATTTGGGAAAATTAAAGTAGACGACTTTTACCCAGGTGGAAAGAAAAACCCGAGTTTCAATATCTCCATGAAGAAAGAAGCCAAGAGACAAACAATGCCAATACATAGCATTAACTACAGTAAATAGACAATTCTGTTTTGTTTATTTTTTTAATTTTTGAAAAATTCTGATATATTATCAGATATAATAAAAAATCTGGAATTATATTTCTTTTCTAGACAGATATTGGAAAGATAAATTTTTCGCCTTTTTTTACGCATGCAGCGTACCTCATTCATTTAGCTTTTATTTTGAAGAACGTATATTAAGATTAAAAGTTTCACAAATTGTATGGGTAAGGAAACATGATTTTTTGTTTAGTCAAACTGTTCATTACTTTTTTTTTCATAGAAACACTTGAATTGAATTAGGTTTTAAAATATATTTAGACTCACTATGACCATACAATTACCATCTTTACAAACAGACTTACAAATGTATTTTACATTGTCAGTAATAAGGCAAGAAATATATTGCAGTAAATAATAAAATAAAAACAATTTAATACAATAAGTAATTCATCCATTATTGTGACATGTACGAGATCATCAACCAAAGGAACATTTTTCTATTAAAAATATCGCTGACTCTCGACTCATCGAGTGTTAAATCAAGATCATACGATATGATCATTACTATGAAACGGTGTTTTTTTTGTATTGTACCTATTTACTTATGTTACTGATAGGGAGCCTAATAAAGTATTATTTTATTATAAATTTGTAGTCAAGATATATCGGTACATTACATAAAACACTGTTTTGAAGTAAAATGTATGATTTTGTTGATTTAACACCAATGGGGCAAATGTGAGAGAATTTTTTTTTATATAGAAATCTATCGCTTTGACTGATGATTATATTGAAAAAAGCCAATTTTACAAATGATACGAAAAAAAACATTAAAATCTTCATCGATATATCAAGGTTTACTTTTTTGAAAACAAAGCTTTATTAATGAAATAGGTGAAGATAACGAACATGATCGATTTTTAAACACCTACAATAAACAAGAAGATAAAGAACTGTGATTGATCTTTAAAAAAATTACAAACAATACAAATATGTGGAAAACCCATAAGACATGAACCCGCGGAATCGAATAAGTTAGGAGATATAAACACCATATGCAGGTGATATGGAATATTACTAAATAAATAAGGAAAGTTGACGATGGAAAAGCTGAAGTCATCTCGTTTGTCATTCAGTTTAGTTATTAGTTGGCCTTTAACGTCTTTTGTTAATATAACATCCAAATATGAAATAGATGTAATAGACTTTGTTGTGTCTTTTATTTCAAGTTGACTAGTATAAACTGAGTCCACAAATGAATGAAAGTAGCTTTCGTTTATTGATAAAATGTCGAGTTGAAGACCAGAGTAAGTGTTTTCTTCTTCACAAGAAGTTTCTGCTTTATTGGAACACAAAACAGGTTGGCTAATAAAGAAGTCCACATTAGTGCACATCGAAATTCCAACTGTTTGATGTAAGACCTGGTCTCCGAACCTATATAGATGTTGTCAATGATGAACTCAAGCATCGTATTAACTTTAGAGTACAAGTGTGTAGAGTGATTTTTTAACAAAGTAATTTTCTTTATAACCAATCACAAGATATGAAAACTTCCAAGTTTCATTTTCATTGAAGAATCAGTTGTTTATGATGTCAGTCAGCTAGTAGTTAATTAATCGTTAGGAATGGTTGTATATGGTGTAGAAAAGTTATACGATTTGATATTACTGATTTTGAATAATTTTGTGATTTTGAATTTTCTTAATGTTCTTTGGAGATTTGAGAATCAAGATTTGATTTACACCACTCCTCAAAGATGCTAAACTTAGTGAAGCACGGTACGTCTAAAGTTTCTCCTCTACCGCACCTCATATTTTTGTGAAGAGTAAAGATAGTGACTTGGTAGAGCATTTACTGGACCCGGCAATATATCTATTTGTAAGGATATTTATGAAGTTTAGGAATCCAGTAAAGGAGGGTAGATCAAACTCACCTTCGTTGACTGGAATGTTAAATGTATTAAAGACTGAAATGTGATTCAGAAGAATTTTATCATGAGAAATTGAACTGTGAGTATAAATTGGATTTCCAGTTGTAGGAATAAAACCTTAAAAAAGATTTCTGAAGTTGATGAACACTTTTCCTAAGTTTTTCTAAAATACAGTTATAATAAAGAGCTTTACAAACAAACAAAGACGATTTTTTCAAGCCTTGTCTGCTGAAACCATAATCACGTAGTCTTTCTAATTCTTTTAAAACCTCCGATTTAGTGAAAGCAGAAGGATAGATAGTTCGCATATTGTCTTTTAACTTTCTAATACTATTCTTTAATATGTTTTTAAAGTAGTCAATCTTTTCTAATAAAGTGCTTAGGTCTTCCCCTTCATATTTCGCCCAACGTTTGGCATACTTTTCGTTATAATTAATAATAGAAAGGAAGTTCTGATGCCGATTGAAAGATCGGAACCCCCTGTATATCGGACCTTTTAAAATGATTGCTTTTAGGTCGTAAGGATTTTGTATGAAGTTTTTGAATCCAGTATAGGTAGGGTAGATTGAACTCACTTTCGTTAACTGGAATGTTAAAAGTATTAAAAACCGAAATGTGATTTTGAAGAATTTCATCTTTAGAAATTCAATTGTGAGTATAAGTTGGATTTCATGATACAGAAATAATAGGCCTTACAAACAAAGACGATATTGTTACAAGTCTTGTCAGCTGGAACCATAACATATTGTTCAAGTATTCTTTCTTTTTATTTTATCACTTCCAATTTAGTGTTGAAATTTTTAATAAAAGTAAAGGTACAAATATCACTTGAGAAGAATACTCAGTAGGTGTTTACCGTTCATATTAAAGTGTCTGCAAAACGACAGCAGCTATCATTTATAATCAATAGAAAAAAATGAGGAGTTATTGCGCTTTGTTCAAATATTCTCAACGAGGATAATTTTAATAGAAACTAAAATTCTATTTTGAACAAACTCAGAACTGGAAAGAAAAATTAGATTGTGTGTAGAGGATGCGCTTTCTCCGCTAATGTAATATTAGCGTGATAGATAGAGAAATTGACACCTGTAACACATGGAGGGCGATTGATCTCGGTCCAAATGTGCTGAGGACTTTTGTTTCACTGGTGAGTTTATTTTTTTAATTTTTACAATATTAAATATTGATTTATGAATTGAAGTTGCTAAATTGAAGTAAAGTTCATTTTTAAAAAGAAGATAATCTTTTAAAACAATTAAAACAACATATACAAGGGCTGTTCGAAAAGTACGCGGACAGTTTCTGTCTCTGTATAACAAGAAATTCAAAATTGGTTCACTATCATATGTAAAAAAAAATATTTTTAGTTTTTTAAAGGTAATCCTGCTTTTATAGGATCAACAGTGAAGCCCCCATCTCTCTTTCTTTCCATGACGTTATTAAATCTTTTTATCAGATTTTTATTTATAATCCGTTACCTCACAGTCTGTTTATCGCCTGATATAGAGTTTCTACCACTCAAAATTCGCCTGTTTCATTTACCCACAAAACACTGCTCACTTTTGCCATATTTTCTACTTCCTCAATTTTTTTTCAGAGTTCTATCTGAAGTTTTCCCAAATGAAAAAAATTGTATCGCTGGTCAATGATGACGTTCAACGGCCATTTTTTTCTTTTCTTTTTTTTTTTTTTTTTAACCTTTTTTTCACTGAGGACTACCTATCTTCTGAATTTTAATTTCTTTTCAATGAAATAAAATATGTAGTCACAATTAGGCATATGAAATGATGTAACAATTCTGATTATGAACGTTTAGATTTTTTTTCATTCTTCCATCAGTGTAATGAGATATAACTACAGACATCAAGTACATTGTTTGTAAATTACTAAATTTTGACTTTCTCCGCCATCTCTTTTCGCAATTTTGCAGTTTTAAATTTTGGAAATTTTTAAAATATATCATGATTTATTTGAAATTTTAAATTCAAACCATTCGAATTAAATTGTTTAAACACGTCTACCCAATTTAGATATAATATGGCCTTAAGTAAAAAAAAAAACAAAAAAACCCCAGGTATGACAGAAGTCCGCAGACCTTTCGAGCAACCCTCGTATAGTTCATTTTTAGGCTGTCTGCCACTGTATGCAAAATACAGCCTATTCTTTAGAGCATCACAATCTGTGCAAAGAGCAAAAGCTGTTTTACTTATTTTTGTTTAAAATCCTTCACTCTAGTGATTTGTTTTGAAGCGCTAATTATTATATAGGTATTTCCACTGTGTTTATTTACCTTCACATTGAAAAAAAAAATTCTGAGATTCTAAATCATATTTCCACTTACACGTGTACCGGTAAAAGAAATATTTTCATGTACTTGTTCATTTAAAGATTTTTTTTCTCAAACGAGTATATATTTTTTAATTCTCTTCAACATTCCAATTACAATTTCTTATTCCTGATCGATCAATCAATCTATTTTTCCCCCAGAAATACAGATTTATAGAATATATTAGATTTACCGTATGTGACGCAGTGATTGTTCAATATGTCTGAATTCCAAATAATAAACGATCCCAACATTGCCTATTACTTAGCCTTGACAATGCTTAAAAATTACTGTGCATACTTTATCTGCAAAACAGAAAAAAAATCTTTTACTTCAATCAAAATTCCGCGATTGGGGAAATTTGGTTATTTATGATATTTGAACCGCTGAGTGAATTTTTACCGATGAAAAACTGATTGTTTGAATTCTTCGATAATGAAATTATTAAATTAACTAAATTAACTAAAACCGTTTTTTTTTAAAGTAAATACTTTCAAACTGGTAAGAAGTGAATTGAAGTTTACATATGTGATAATATTTTATATTTGCGATGCAAGGTGCCATTACACAGTAGTACGCAAAGCGCAGACGTAAATATTCAAAATGTGCAAGCAATTTGAATGAAATCTAAGATCGTAAATAAAAACAATAATTCATAAACAATGCATAAAGTGTTATAAACAGTGAAGTTTTCATACGATTAATTTGATATGAAAAATAATCTACCATGTATGTATTTTGAAATATTTAATAAGTTGGACACTAACTCATGTACAAAAATAAATATATATGCATGTAGATGACCTGAGGTTCAGAAAACCCAGTAGCTGTGCAAATAAATACTTAAACCTAACTAAAACTGAAACCTTCACCCTCAGTTATTCTCTAATTGAACAATCAAGGGTGCTCTAAATCAATTTGTAAGTCATAAATAGGTGGATTGTTAAATTGCTGTGAAACGCAATTCCAGTCATTCCTGGTGTAACGCCAATTTTTTGACATTGCTGATATTCTTTCAACTCACCAAAAATTATGAATGATTGCTGGTGATCATGAGGACCGATGCTTTTGCAGAATTCATTCAATATCCAGTCCTACTTGCATGTCTATTCACCTACACCTCATAATGAAAGTAACAAAGTATCAATATAATTTAAGATATAAAGACCACCATGAAGTGTCTGATGTTGTTACCTTTTCTGGTCTGTTGTTGGACTGGGAGCTTTGGTAGCCTTTCAATTCACAGTAATAATCTAGTGGAGTTGTTCTCCGATTACCTGACCGACTTGGAAAACAGACAAATGAACATGGCTATACACAACCGGAAACGTGACGGTTTGTACACATGTATTGTCTTTAATAGAATTTCACAAAAAGAATATGAAACATGTTTGGCTAGTGTAACACCCTTTAGACTTTCATCCCCCTTTTCTCAAGTATAATTATATACAATGTATACCACTATATATTTATATATATACAGTGGGGAGTGGGAAAACTGAACAATTGAGAATCTGTAGTGGAAGAAAGGACTGTGGTAGTGTGGTTCAGAATTTTGGCTTTCTGTATGATGCTGAGAGCGCCATTGAAATCTGCAACAGTAGCTTCGTCACGAAAGCTGACGGAGTGAAGTGTTTCGACAAATACCCAAGCTGTGGATATCTGCGAGATAAATTCAATGTCTGCAAGAAAAAAGAGGTGGTCGATAAGCTGGGATGCGATCTTACTTGCGGAAAATGTAGTAGGTACATTTTATACCTGTAATAATTGCAAAAAATGAAAGTATATGCACTATTTTTTTTTTTGGGGGGGGGGGGGATTATTAAGAATTCTCTTCACTCATTTGTTTGTTAAGAAATATATAAACGAATAGACGATTAATTCCATAGTACTCGTGTCTTTTTCAAAAAGTTACATTTATGTCTTTTTTTTAATAAGTAAGTTTCATAATTCTTGGTATTTTTAACAAAATTTTGCCCTTTCAAGTTGACTGTTTCTGATATAATAAAAGTTAAAAAAAATATTTTTGCAATGCAAAGTTTAGAGACCATTTAAACATTTATATCTTTTTAACAATATTAATGATATTCTTTTTTTTCAGAACCAGAACCCAAATTTGGAAGTCAGAAATCATAGATACTATGTAACAAAGCATATTTGTATTAAAGTGTATGCCAAACAGTTTTTAATGCACTGCCAGAATATTTTGAATCCAAGTCTTTTGGTCGTAGGCCATCATTGAATACGAAATAAGGAAGTCATTTTAACTTAGGTTTGTCTTGAAATTTTTACTTACTTGAGTACTTATTTCTGTTGAAAACATGAGGTTAGAAACAAAATTTTGAACACAAGATTTCGGTCAATTTTACCAAAAGATATTTGATAGAAACCCTAAAATATAACATTGATCTAAGCTTACACAGCTTTAATATTCTTACTTCGTAGGTAAGTTAATTTTTCTTACATTCAAAATAAAAAAAATTCTTTGGAAAAAATTCTAATGAAGTTCTTGAAAGAAAGATTATATACATGTACATGTATATATATTATATATATTCTGTCTAGTTCTGAAAAGATGTTTTTTTTTGTTTGTTTATCGTTTCGGAAAAGGTATAAGATAATACATTTTAGGATGCTGTTTACACAAAACATACAATAATGACATCTACATATACTTAAACCCAATGTCATCTAGGCTTGCACCAGGAGAATGACTTTAAAAAAATAGCATAGAAGGTCCTGCTTTGTCATTGTTTGCATCAACAATTTTTGACAACTTTTAAGCAACGCACATTACAACCTTGAAACTTCAAGTGCCATAGCTAAAATGGCATAAATTTAATTTTTATGTCTGCTGCTGAGGTATAAAAGAATTGAAAAATAGCTCTGCTTCTCTTTATTTAATTATTCACCTCTTGATAATTATCGACTAAACCTCTTCTTCTCGGATCATGTATATGGCACCCGTGTAAAAACAACAATGTATCAAATCGGATTTTAAAAAGTGATGTCATAGAAGAGCAAGGTACACTGGTCTTTCAGTGGCTTTTAATCAAGTTAATTTTAAAGGCAAATTCTGATGACCCAAAGGAGACATTGGAATATTTCATTGTGGTGAATTATAGAGCAAGGAAATACCTTAGTAACTTTCATTTCTCAATTGATAGTGCTTTATTCAAAGAAATTTTGTTCTCAGGGTGTTTCTTTTAGTTTTGGACGAAGGAGAAAGAAAATGTGAACGTTTTAGAGGAAGTGAATGTAAAAGCCCAAGGAACAGAGACTATTAAGGACAGGGACTAAAGCATCAATTAAATTTATGTGAGCGGAAAAGTCAGGCTGATGAAGATGGAAGCATTCTGAATATCTTCTCCTTAAAAACTAAATTACATGTAAAAAATATTAATATAAAAAGGTTGAAATGCTTCCTTGAAAAGTATTTAATTTTGAAGTATAGAGGAAAATAGTACAGTCATTCAAAGGTGTGGCATTGTAGAAGCATCGGTTCAGAAAATAAGATGATTTGGTCTTACTCTTTCTTTTAGATAACTTATATCTGTAGACTTAAATGTAGTGTAGATGTGAATTAATTAAAAAATACAACGAGATTAGATGTGTTTATTTCGTCGTTACGAAAAGTTTTGACCTCTTAAACGTTTTATTACGAGTGTCTTTCTTTTGATAAATAAATAAATGAACAAACTATAGAAATTGAAAATTGATATCGATAGAATTCATAATATCTTTCACCTTTTTTGACAAAAAATAGTTATAATAAATTATTATGAAAAGTCTCTCAAATTTGGCATTAACTCAACAAAAAGCATTGATAAAAAGACAAGAAAATACCTTATTCATAATTAATTAAGTTCTAAATCGACACTTCCATATGTCAATGAAAATATTCTTCTTTAGTCAAACCTTACAGCAATACAAGCAATATAAATTTCTATGTTGCTATATAAATGTGCTATTATGAGAAAGAAGTAGGTACGGTTTTGGTTTTATAATGCCCTAAACATTTGATGTTTTCGAGAAAAAATAAGTTTGTTTAAATCTGAGTTGATTATATGAATGTGATAAATTTGTTACATTTCCATGCTTTAACAGCCTCAAAATGAGTAATTTTAGGATTTATTTTCTTGAAGAAAATAATGTCCACAGCCGTCGCTCATATCAATTTTGATGAAATACATGAATGGAGATAACAAACAGTAGTCAAGCTCAAAGTCCTTTGAAACAATACAAAATGGGAGCAGAGCATACACGAACCTCTAAAACCATCAGAGGTGGGATCAGGTGCCATGGAGGAGTATGCATTCCCTGTTGACCGGTCTCATCCGCCGTGTGCTCATTGTCATGTTCGGGAAAACGGAAAAATCCATAGACAATACAGTGTGTAATTAAAGACCTAATAAGTTCTATGAAAAACATCAGTCAGCATTAATATTCGACTTACTGATAGATTGTATTCGCGACTAGGTCATTGTATCCACCATAGATTTAGAAATTGTTCGTACGTAGAGCATGTTCTTGCGTAACGAATCAACTGGGAGACATAAACTCCATATCCAGATGATAAGGCTATATTGCTGCATATATAAAGGAAGTTGACAATAGAAGATTTGAAGTCATCACGTTTATCATAAAGTTTTATTGCTAGGTTACCATTAATGTCTTTTTCTAGTAAAATATCCAAATATGAAACAGATGTGTCAGACTCTGTGGTATCTTTTATTTCGAGTTAAGAGGGATATATCGAATCAACATTGGAATGAAAATGAATATTGTTAATTGATAAAACGTCGTCGATTTATCCAGATGTTGAATTAAGGACCACAGCAAGAGACTTCTTAAAATTGTGAAGTTTTTGAATATGTTGTATAAAAAATTTTCTTAAAATTTTGTGGGCGATGCATGTGGTCTATATTGTCTTTAAAAAATTCTACTGAAGTTTGTTGTTTTCTGCAACTTTTTAAGATAATATCAGAAAATGCACAAAGTGATGACGTCAAATTGGCATTTAGGAGGTAAAAACAATTTGTATGTTGTTATTACATGGAATTAGACCAACGTTTAAGGAAGTATAAGATTTCATTTCTTACAACAAATTCATATGCAAAAATACAGGACCAGATTTGTTTTGACCCCGTATCTTCTTCTATGCATGCAATCTAAACCTTTTTCTTCATTACAAAACATTTCTTCACTGTAGAATGTATTATATTGTATTAAAAATCAATTTTTGCACAGGACGACAATCATATAATTTTGCTTCAAAGTTTTAAAATAATTTTTCCAATACAAATATAAATAACAGAAGTTTATAAACCCATATCTTATCACAATTTTAGAATAAAAGCTTCTAACAAGAAAATTGCAGCTCAAATTGCTTGAATTGATCAAACGCATTGAATATTTTTAAGAAACATAAACACTTTACACTTTTCCATGACAAAATTAAATTTACATAATTTTTTTTCTCCAAAGTCTGCATTTTTCTAATAGTGCATTACAAAAGCAATGAAAAGGATAATGACATGCATATATAAGATTAATTATTAATATCTTTTTGTGATGTATAATGATGCTGGATTCTAAATGCAAAGATACTGCATATAGATAAATATCAAATACTGCTTATTATTTATCAATTCAACAACAGACAAGTGATATTTAAAAGATTTGCTATAAAAATCTTCGTTGTTTGGTTAAATATTCCCAATATACGGACTTATCCTATAAACTACACCAAAGCAAGGAGTTGACAAATGTCAATTTAGGAATTATTAATATTGATGCAGATGGTCCCGACAATTAAAGTATTCTGTACATGTTTTTGTGACCCCTCCTAGAAATCTGAAAGGTCAGGGACTCATAAATTATATGGTTGTATTCCTTGTTTATATTTAGGTTAATTGAATATTCCATCCTCCTGGCTTTCCCATTTTAAACAATCTATAATGAACCACTTCTTGATTCCAAAATTTTAATTTCATTGTAATTAAATGTCCCTATTTATCTGCTGGAAGAAATATTTCAATTAAAAAGCATTGCGGAGTATTTCATTAATTCCTATAATTTTATTCACCTCTGACAATCGAAGTATTTAACAAATTGTATACAGGTTAAGGTACATATCGAAACGCCCCAGAAATTAAGACTCTTCTTAGCCAATTTTCATGTCGAAAAGATATAACAAAAATATCCATACTTTATTTAACCATAATTTTGATTAAAAAGGAGGAAAAAGAAATTTCGAAAGACTTTAAATCGATCAAGAATAACTTTATATATATATATATATATATATATATATATATATATATATATATATATATATATATATATATATATATATATATATATATATATATATATATATATATATATATATATATATATATTGAAAGCTTTAGATTCTGCAGCTCAGTTTTTTACAAAGTACATTTAAAAGCATAGAGTTTTATTGAAAAACTTATTTAAAAACAATTTAATACTCATAATAAAAAAGCAAAGAAAGCATAATAATATTAATTAAGCAACTCAAGGTATTTGCAATTGCCATATGAAATTTAGAAACTTTCATCAGCTACTTTTCAGTTTATTTAAGTTTTAGAATAACGTTGCTACATAACTGTTTGCAGAAATAAAGCTAAGCCCTTCTCTTTTGTTTAAAGAATTTGCGTTTAGTAGTAGTATATGTTTAGATGTCAAATATAAGGACTTTCACATACCAGTTTATCTACAAGACTTTGTTGTTGTTGTTGCAATTTTCTTCCAACATGTAACCATTTATTTAATTCGTAACCCCTGAAATAACTGCTGAAAAAAAAAAATACATAGCATAAGGAAATATATATTATAGGTCCAGTAGAACTCGATAACTATTAATATTGATAATTATTTGCTACTAGTATTTCAATTTCATACAATAGAAATGCTTTCGGAGAATTATTTGCTATTTTCAAAAAAATATATGTTTGTAATAGAAATTGTTGTTTTGATTGCATATTCAAATAAACATTTTCTGAGCATTTAGTCTTGTTTATTAAGTAACCTTGAAATTATAGTTTAACCAAATTGAAAGAGAGTTATTCATTTCTTGATTTATGAAAATGGAAGGTGGCGTAAAGAAAGTAATATTGAAACATTTTAATTAAGTCTACATTG